CCAGGCGTTGGCGCGCGTGAAAGCCGTGGCCACAGAAATGGCCGAAATAGCACTGGAATTGTGCGGCACGTGTACGGGAGAGCACGGCATAGGCAGAGGCAAAGTCGGACTATTGAACACACAATACGATTCCGTGGCTATGGATGTGATGAGACAATTGAAGAAAGCGTTAGATCCCAAGAATCTAATGAATCCAAAGAAACTGTTTGTCGATTAATATGAGTGTAGTTTAAGTTTAATTGAAATAAAATTATTAAAACACTAATAATTTACTTATTGTCTAAAAATTTGTCTAAAAGTTTTAATACTGAATCTCAGAAATCGTTTTGTGATAACTGTTTTATTCATTTGATTTTATTTAGAAATTTAATTAAAATTAGAAATAAAATAATAAATAATAAGAAATATATTGAAAACAAAATCATAGAATATCTGTTAATAACAAATCATATCATATATTATACAAAGATTACTAGAATATAATTCAATTATAATAGTGATAAATATTTGTATCAATTAATTAATAAATTGTAACATTTATATTAAACCACAAAAATAATAATATTTCATTCAAAAAATTGGTAATAAATCAAATCCTCGTAAGAATTACTAAACAAAATGTCAATTATTTGAATGCATTAAGTGTTGAGACCATTGCTGGCGATTAGTTGCTCTTTAGTGACCACTCCGTCGGCCAGTAATGCATTGAAAACGGGCGGCGCGTAAGCGCACGAACAGTAGTCATACTTCCGGTGTCTTGTATTCAATTTAGTCGTCACCTGTAATACAATCAATACATTAATACCAAACGATAACACAAAACACAAGACAACTGTCCATTTCGTACACTATATGTCAAGTGATTAATATTGCGGAACCAATGGAAAAAGCAGTGGCCGGAGAAGACCAACAGTGCTATCAATAGGACAAACGTAGAGAAGGCCAACACATTAGACCCTTTGGTGCGCATCAACAGAAACGTGAAGACCTGGAACTGCATCATCAGTAGTGCGATGTGAACGTACAGAATGGCCGTCGAGTGGATCCGACCATTGATTTTAGTGGGCGTATAGATATAGTAGATGTTATAGCGATCGACAATGTGTTTGATAATCATATAGAAAAGGCCTAAGA